CCACCCTTCCTGCCCCCTTCACGCGCCACCACCAGCACCCCACCCCACCCCCAGCTCCGGTGGGGAAAGGCGACCGGGACACGCTTCACGGGGCAGCCCGCCCTGCCCACAGCGGCGTGGGGCTTGCACACTTGCGGTCGCTGGGATGGGCCCCTTTCTGTAGCTGGGGCAGCGTGGGCTTTCGCTGGTGCCAGGACGGGCCCTGCGGAGGCTGTTCATGTGCGTACTCCTGTTTCCCAGGTGACTGTGCATCCTTCTACCTCTGTGTGTTTTAGGCCACAAGCCTAATGCTTACCTGGCAGAGGAAACGCTGTGTATCTGGGTCCAGGAAGGCAGTTTTCCTTAAGCCCTCCCCGAGATAACTGTTCTTCTGGTGCGGTTTTGTATCCGCCGAGGTGCTGGGGCTTAAGCCCACTTTATGGAAAGGGGAGGCTGCTCCCTACCTTGCTCCTGTGGCCACATGGCTGCGGGCAGGTGAAACTTGGGGGCCTCCAAACCCCAGGTCTCTGGGCTTGGGCCTGCATGTAGGATGCCAGCCAAAAGACTTTGGAAATATCTGAAGCCCTGGGTGGGGTGGAGGATGTTTGCCGGTTGTCAGGCCACTTACGATTCTGGACTGACTCACAGATTGGGACTTGATTTGGCTTGGAGCATGAAAAATTTCTTTAAAAAAAAAGTTTTAGGCTACAAGCCATCTGGATCCTAAATCCCCTTTGCTAGAGAAATACCTCTTGTGAAGAGATGAGAAGGCTCATGCCACACCTAGGGTGGCCATTATAGAGGACACTCTGGTTTTCTGCTACTCTGTCGTCTATTGATATGAAACCAGATGCCTTTATGGCCTCTATTTTTCTCTTGAAGACTGGCAACCAGACTGTCCTCTATGATGGCCCCCCTTCCCAGCGCTCCCACAGTGAGACCATTTCACAGCTTTCAGGAAGGCATGGGGGGAAACAGGAATGAATTCTTCCCCACTGTGAGGGAGGTTCATAGCAGACAGCTAGGCAGGGATCAGAGGTCCCAGCATCCCACTCGCTTAGCCTGTGGTCTGACCTCTGGACTGGATTTCTCCCTGAGCCATTTCAGAGGCAATATTAAGGATCAAAGAGCATCATCTTCCTCACCTCACTTTCCTTGTCCTCCAGACACTTAACTCACCTGCCCCTGCAGACTGAAATGTTTTAATTGAATCAGCTGCTTCTTGCAATCCCATTTCACAGCAGAGATGAAGCCTCTGAGAAATAAGAGAACTGAGTTCCCAGGGAAGTAGAATGTGAAGTAGATGAGTCATGTCATAATCTGGTTTACTGTTGAAGTGTTGCAATGCAAGGCTAGGCAGAAAGTGCTGGGGAATCCAGGACAATAGTTAATTTAGAACCAATGATCTTCCCAGCAGACACAAATTTTGCCCTACTTGACCTGCCTGTCATTGCATCTATAGTCCCCCTGGTTGCTGAAGTCATTGTGTTTTGGGATCTAGAAAATGCTAATCAAATGCCAAAGTGAAGTGACCTATTATTTGTAAGGTGCTAGTCTACGAAATGCCACACCGAGAACTGAGATCATAAACAGCAGAGCCAGTAAGTGAGAAGAGGGCTCAGCACAGAGCAAGTTTACTTGAGAAATGCACTACTGCTTCTATTTAGTTACACTTGGACTCATGCATCTAGCTTAGCTCATTATTGCTGATCAGGGTTCTTTGGGGGCTGTCACAGATCCTGCCTTGTGAAAGTCCTCTGAGAAAGCTACTACTGCACCCATTTTCCCTAGAAGAGGCAGAAAATGTCTCCCTTGTTGGTACGTTCCACTTGGGTGATAAGCCACTTCTCACTTCCCCATTTCCTGCAAAGGCTCCGTCTACCCATAGAAACTGGTGGCCAAGACTTTCAGAAGCAGCTGCTGATTTCAGACACTCAGCATGACACAGCTTGAACAGACGAGTCTGATCTCCCACAGTCCTGAGAACCCATCTCCTGGGAATCCCGGCCTCCAAATGGTGAAGATGAAGTCCCAGGATGGAAGCAGCAGACACTTCACCTGCTAGTCACGCGGTATAGACAGACTCACATTGGAAGTTTCCTCTTGTCCCTTGCAGGGCTTTGGCCCAGGTTGAAAGCATGATTTGCTAGAAATGCTCAGGTGATTATGGCTATTTGCATAAACAGAGTTTGCATGGCTGATCCGTTTACCAACCAGAGACTAAATAACTGATGTGGCAACACCTGCGGAATCACAGCACTGGGGAAAGGACAGTGTCAGTTCAGAGACACATTCCTGCTGCAGCCTGGTCACGTTGAATCTGAGGATCATATCACTGTTTGCATACAGCAAGACTTATGACTCTTAATTCCTTCTGAGACTTTTGCTTCGTGCAGAGTGAGACTGAAGTCTTCCCTCATACAGCAAGCACCACAATTTGGATTGATGTAATTGCCGTTTAATGCATGGCCTCCTTCCACAATACAGCACTTTCCTTCTCCTTTGTTCTTCAGTGTGTCGTGCAATTAGTTCACCCCTGATTATTACATCCTGAGCTTGCATGTCACGGACTCAAGGGATTTGGAAATGACTTAATGATCTCACGGTGATGAAAACAACATGAGCCATTGCACACATTATGCATCTGCACGTCTCAGGCATGTCAGTTCTATTTTTTCTCTCTGCTTCTCTTTGCTTGTACCCTGGAAATTGCCTTACCACATAACTGTGTTGCAGCCTCTGTGGCTGCCTTCTGCTCATTCCTGGGGCGAGATTTAACTAAAGGACACAAACACAGCAGAAGAGATAAGCAAGAGGTTCAGGAGACCAGGCTCCTGCAAGAACTGGAAGGCAGTGGGGAGCAGGTTGGGGAACTCTTATAACTAGCTGGCTGATTCAGAGCAGCTCAGCTGTGACCAGATAGCAGGCAACTGGGTGGCCTGTGCTAAGTATCTTGGTCAGGGCCGGACACAGGCATGGGCAAACCAGGCAGCTGCCCAGGGCCCAGACAGAAAGGGGGCCCAAAAATGGTGAAAATTATTATTATTATTATCATTATCTCCAGTAAAGGGGGGCCCGATACTAAAAGTTCACCTGCCAGGAGTCTAGATACGGTGCTGATCCTGGTGGTACCATCACTAACCCATCCTGCTGTATTCTTGGCAGTATAAGGGAGAGGACTAGGAGACTGCACTATTCTCTACTCTCCAGACTGGGCTTTGGGTCAGGTGCTCAGCCAAAGCAGTGGGATCCCCAGGTGAGCTCTGACCACTTGCCTCCAGACCCTGGCTGCACTGTGTAAACCCAGGGAAGATACACAGGGCTGAAGCTAGACAGATCCTTCCCCTTCCCTTAGAGGAGAAGGGTCTGAAAAGTGTTGAGACCCCATTCATGGGCCACTTCCTGGCCTGGACTAGACATAAGCCTGCCTGGTGGAGGTTCAAGGGACTAGGGAAGCTGTGGGATCCTACAGACACCAGTGGGGAAACAGCAGCCTCAGGTACTTCCAGTCATGAAAACAGGCCCAAGCAAAGCTTTCCTGCATGTTTGTTTGTGCAAGCCAGTGATTCTCAACCAGGGATGCCTGGAGATCTTTTCAAGGGTGGCACAGGGGGCCACACAAAGTTAGCACTGGTAGATGTGCCAACAGAGAGATTCACAAGACAAACGCAGAGAATTCAAATAGGAATCCATGGTGTTAAGTCCACTCTGACCCCTTGTGGTCTTTCTGAGTTCTTTGCCACAGCAGATTGTTTTATTGTATTTTTCATTGTCAAAAACTAAGGGAAAGCTAAGAGCTGGAATTGTCTGAGGGGTGCTTTGAATATTTCAAGGGATGTCGGAAGCCTCAAATGGTTAAGAACCATTGACACAGACAGACTGGGGGCAGCATTTAAAGAGCTTAGGACTTTTCTGGCTGAACTCAGAGCCATTTCCTACCCTGTAGCCTGACAGCAGAGTGATTAGCAGTGGGATGATGGTGCTGAGATGCACGCGATGCTAAAAGGGGCACAGTCCATTATAGCCCTCCAAACCAGTCCCCAGGGCTTTAATTTGTGGCTCCCTGGGGCTCTCAAAGAGCCTGCTCATCTCCCTGTGGCTCATCATCTCCACAACTGTCAAGAGTGTCCCCGGGGTCCTGCAGAGCTCATCGGGCTGGCAGCTGCTGTGTTGATTATGTCAACTCAGCAGGTCGGCCACTCTCTGCCCAGCGTAATGATGCTCCCCCTTAGAGCTGCAGCTCTCAGTGACCAGCGTCGCTGGGACTCACAATAGAGCTGCAAGGAGGGGTGGCCCGTGAGCGGGTGGCGAGATGGGGGCTGTCACTCACCTGTACACCACGTGTTCCCGTCAGTGAAGGGCCCTTTGGAAATTGCTCCATGAAGCCCTGCTAGCCTGGGGCTGGGCACGATCCAGGCCCACTGGAGTCAGTACAGTCCCTCATGCAGATGCCTTTGACATTTCTTTCCCTGTCCCTCCTTTTTCAGCACAGGGGTGGTGCCTTTAGTGGCAGACCAGCTTCTGGCCACTGCAGTGGGGCTGGGAGAGAAGCAGAATGCCGGTAGCTCTAACCAGCTATCCTTGTCCTCTGCCTCACCTAGTGCCGCCCTGACCCAAAGACACACTGGGGAGAGCATGGGAAAGCTTCGCTGCCCAGCTGTGTGCCAGCCCTGGCAAGCAGGAAAATGCTGCTTCGTGGTTAGACCTCACCAGCCAGGCTGGCATTCAACAGCTCCAGCTGCTCTTGCATTAGCTTTCTCTTCAGCTGGGCCATGGCACTCTGTGCAGGTGATCTGTGGCCCAGCTGTTCTGTTGCCCTCCTAGGCTGTGTACCACATGTGCCCTCTCTGGCTTGCCTTCTACATTTAAATTCCTGAAGCTTCCCAGTGTTTTGTAGCTGATCCTCAGTCCTCTTTCAGAGCTCTGAAGTGTCCCTCAAAGCTCCCCCACCCAGGCACAGCCCCTGTCCTGGGCTCCTGTCCCAAGCCGGGCCAAGGCAAGGCAGCAGCAGAAGCCAAGCGCAGGATATCTATCTCTTTATTTACAGCTCAGTGAAATGCACATGCAACACGTTACAGGATTTACTACCAGGCAACTGCTTGCCTCAGTCATTGGTTCCAAGGAAACCCAAGTTCCCCCAGAAAGCGCCTAAACAAAATCGTTAAAAAGAACCAACTCAGAAAGGGTCACCAAATGAGTGACAGCTGCAGGCCAGGAGGTATCCCTATGGCCCTGCCTAGCCAGGCTGCCCTTTGGGAGCCAAGGCAGAAGGGCTGGGAATGGGAAGACCCTTGGAACTCACAGTCCCTAAGCAGCAATGGGGAGAAGAGCCTGGCAGTGCCCCTGGCTCACTGAGCCGGGTGCCAGCTTCTGCTAGCAGGACAGTTAGTGTCTCATCTCCCTGCATCTCAAAGCTGCAGAGCCTAGAGACAAACTGTCCAACCCCCCTCGAATAAATGCACCAGCTGAGCCCTCTTGCCAGGAGCCCCCTCACCAACTTGCCTGAGGTCACTGAACCAGACTGCCTGCCCAAAGGGCTGTCCAATAAGGGAGCTCCCTCTACCTGTGAAGGCTGGAATAAGTCAGCTCCTGCCCCTTGCCAAGAGCCCTAATCGATCATGCCCTGCCCTTCTGTAGCAACTACAGTATCCAAAGGGGCTCCCAAGTATGAATGGGATGAAGCCTCCCCCCTTTTCCCCACCTTCCCATTTTACAGAAGGAGAAATGGAGGCACAGAGAGGTGAAGAGACCCCCCTATGATCTCAGGAAGCCAAAGGGAAAGCAGGAGTCCCTGCCTTGCAGAGAGCAGGAGCCCTCCATCCAACTGTCCCCAGAGGCCCTCCCTGATTTCCCACGTAACATCCAAACAGGTGGGTCCAAGAACATTTGCTTGCCTGGCCCAGCCCTTTCTATTATACCTAAAGAAGCAACAAGGATGGAGTCTTACATTCCCTTTCCCTCTTCAGAAAAGCATTAAAGTTTAAAAGGACTGCCCTGCTACTCCAGTGGCTCCTAGCATGGTGGTCAGGGGCTACATCAGCCCATCTTTCCTGGATGGCTGAATGGGAGAAGGGAAGGGAAGTCCTGAGCGGGGGTCCTGGCACAGCAACTACTCTAATCGCATCCGACTCCTTGAGGGCCAGCACATCCAGAGCCTGCAGCTTCAATCGTTTGGTCAACGTTTCCCCACCCCTCCCCATTGCTAGATATAAATAACTCGCCCCAGTTCCTACACATTAATGAATGACCCCTGATCGCCATTGGCTGACTCGGGCTCCACACAGCGCCCTTTCCTGCGGGTCACTCTCCGATTCCGGTGAAATTTGGCATAGCAGCGTAGTCCTGCAAGGAAGACAGACGTGGTGAGCTGGGTTGCTGGGGGAGGTCCATGTGTGAAAGGGATACATGTCCACATGGGTATAGGTACCCAGGTGAGGCTGGGCACACAGGTGAAGTGGGGGCACGTGTATCTGCAACTTCAAGTGTATTGGGACACTGGCTACAGCTAAGGCTGGGGCTGTTTCAGCAGCACTGATGCTCCCGCCAGCAGTTCCTGCCTAATGGGTCTCACTCTTCTGCTCAGTCTCACCCATCACCAAATATGAGGTCAGGAAGGAACAATCTTCACAGGTCAGAGGACTGTGGACTGGGAGAGTTTTGCCTCCCTCTGGAGTATGGTCCTTTTTCAAGGATCCAAGCACCTATTAACCAACGACGTCACTGCAGTGGCTAGGCTTTGGCAGTGCCTGGGTCTCCCCTGATTATACCCATGGCGTGCTGTAGGGCACTGATAGTGCTCTGCACTTTGTGCCTTGTAGGTGTGGGTGAGGTTCTGAGCTGGTGACTCTGGGGATTCCTTGAGTTTGACTGCCCATAAGCATGGGGACTAGACCTGATGGCTCAGAGACCCCTTCCAGCCTCAGGTTTCTAGGATATCCTTCCAACCATGGCCAGGTGTGTGACAGGATCCTTTGCAGTAGGGGCTGTCTCACGTATATCAGTCCGGGCAAGCCTTTTGGACCAGAAAGACAGAGAAATCCCATTGCCTGAGCTGGGCCTTGCAGGGGCTAACAGACTGGGGACTCTTTTCTCAGATGCTGCTTAGCGTGCTGATTAAATCCCTTCTATGCACCTGTCTGGCTGGGAGTTCACTGGCCTGGGCAGGATGTTTCTGAAGCACCTTTGAATTTTCTTGATGGCTTGCAGTGCATCTTATGGAAAGGTCATTTGTTCTCCCTCTATTGCTCCCTATTACTGTTTAAGCAATCTCTCCTCTGGGAAACTACTGCAGCCTTAATGCGTGACAGCAGGAGCAGCAGTGGCTGTAGAGTGTCCCTCTATTTATTCCTCTGAAACTTCCTGAGAGGAGGTGTTGGCTTTTAATAACAGTGATCAAGAGCCTGATCCAAAGTCCACTAGATCTCTCCATCCATTTAACTGGATTTAGTTCAGGTCCTGAAGTGTAGGGAACAGGTGATGCTGCTTTACATGGCCTTTGATGAATCACTAAGAGGCAAGCTCTAGGAAAGTAGCATCTGAGTTTAAGAGTGATCAGTAAAAAGCTTTTCTAAGCAGGGGTGTGTTCCCTCTGGGGATTTCCCTGGTAACTGATGATCTATCAGCTGCCAGGACTTACCAGATCTGGGGTTGGGGCCTCCTGCTTCACTGGCTGATCTATGCTAGCTGAGGGTACCTCAGCCCTACAAACTCCATTCTTTGCTGCCCTTCCCTTGGGTGATGAGCAATGGCTATTGCCAAGGCAAGTTTCCCCCAGGCTGCTGTGGTGATCCCCTGGAGGACAGCATCTGGTCTCCATTGCTTGTGCAAGGAGGCAGATGACACATCTGCTCCAAAGCACTGGGATCAGTTATGGGAACATTTGTCCCCTGGGAATGGGGCTGATGTCACAAGTCATGGAACAGATGGCTCTTCCGTGGGATGCCTCTGCTCTGGGCCACCTCGCCTCTGAGGGCTGGAAGGCTCACTCTCATTACCTATCCCCTCAAGCCATTTCCGCCCCAGGAGAAAAGCACACATAATCAGAGCCTTGCTCAGGCCTATATTTATCCTCCTACCGCATCCTCTGTGATGCTGACACATGGAGAAGCCTGCAGACTCTGCATTAACTTAGCCCATCTCCATATGAGCCAGGGCCAGCAGCAGCTCTCCAGGGGCTTCCATAATAAACAACCTCCTAGGGCCAATCTACTGCAGCATCACGCCTGAATGAGACCTGGGCCTGGCAACCCACACACCCCCTAAGGAGAATATGGCCTCTGCGTTCCAGGACCTCTCTCCATGTGTCTTATCACAAAGGAGGGAAAGGGGTGACTTGGCCAGGGCATAAAGATACCTCTATGGGAAACACAGCTCGGAGAAGGGGCTCTTCAGTCTACCCCACAGAAGCCTAACAAGATTTGGGGCTGAAAGTTGAAGCTGGAGAAATTCAGGCTAGAAATAAGGCACAATTTTTTCCCCGGGAAGGGAGATTCCACCTCAGAATCGTTGTTGAGTCTCCATAGCTGGCGATTTTTAAAACCAAGATTGAGCGTCGATTAAAAGAGCTCACACTGAAATTCATTCAGGGCTGCCCAATAGCCTGCGTTTTGCAGGAGCTCAGCCTGCTTGGTGGTCCTTTCTGGCCTGAGACTACTAAGCTTGTAAGCACTATGGACTCATTGTTCAGTCTGTTCCCAAGGGGTCAGCACAGACCTGCGAATATCCTTGTTGTACGGGTGGGGAAGGCAGCAGATTCAGCAACTGTGGGCACAGAGTGAGCTAACGGCAGAAGCAGGGCTTGAACTTGGGGGTCCTGGCTGCCTTCTTGTGGGCAAAGGCCCAGCTGCCTCTGTATAGCCTAATATGTCTCTGGACCTGCTCTGAGGAGGAAACCAGGACTTGGACTCACCTTCAGTGCACATGCAGTCATCGTAACACTTGTTGTTAAGGCCTCGATTGTGCGGTTTGCAGAGGTGCTCACGGAGGTCACAGCACGAACCTGCCAACACAGCAAGCCACCAGCCACGCAGTCAAGAGAGTGCGCAGCCAAGGCACCCCCCACTCCCCACGACTTACACCGTTAGGTTCTCCAACAATAAACGTACTTCTTGTCTCCAGATATCTCCTATTATCAATCTAAATGACAACATTTTTTATTGAGACCAATGATGTCTCCTAATTTATGTTGTAT